ATGCAGTTGTCCTGGTACTTCTTGCGGAAAACTTCGGCAAGTTTCTCAAAGGACCCAATCCTGCCATGGGGAAGGCCGTTAAACCATTCCACAGGCCTCCCTCTCAAGGATGAGAAGAAGAGCAAGCACTCCTCAGCATCAGTGCACCCGGCCATCTGTGCTGCATTGTGGAAGGTGTCAAGGTGGACATTTGGATCCTCCTTTCCAGTGAATTTCTCCATATCCAGCTTGACCTTCCGCCTCAATTTTTGTGCATGTACCCTGGCCGAAAAGGGTGATTTGGCCAGGGTGTGCTTCTTTGCTCCCGCCTTCTCGTCCACCTTTTCTTCCAGGGCACGTAGCTTTCTTGCTACGCTTCCTATCTTGTCCAGGTCATCCTCATCATATGAGAGCCTGGTATATGCCGATGCCCTGGGCTGGCTTTCAGCTTCCTCCTCACCTAGGTGAATCGTCTCAGATTCCCTAGAATGACGAGATTGGGCGGGACAATTCCCTCCAAGTCTTTCCATTGCGCTAGTCCGGCCCATCTCAGGACCAAGACGTAGCTTGGCAGACTTGCGGGGCCCATCCTCTTTGTCCCCTAGGCGTTTGAACGCCGAATCTCAGGTCTTGCTGGGTTTGGCTATAGCCTTACCCTTGCTCCTGCGGGCCGCCTCCTGCTCCGCCTCATTGATTTCATGGACATTTGAGGGCGCTGCTTCATTCATAGTCCCCGTCAAATTCACCGGGCGTATAGGGACCATCCTAGGGATAAATGTCGACGGAGTCGACATCGGAGGTGGAATGATTGGCGGCGTCATACCAGGATAGGCAAATGGCATGAAGCCACCTGCCTGTTGCATCATGGCCATCACCTGTTGATAGCCCTGTAGAGCCTGAGCATTTGTCGGGTCAGCAGCAAACTGAGCCCAAGCTGACGAGTATGGTGTGAATGCTCCACCAGGCGTTGTTATCGAGCCTGGGAACATTGTTGTCGTCGGCGTAGGAGTAGGGGTTGACATGATTGGGATCATGCTAATCGATCCTACAGTGGTGATCGGAGCAAAGGTCGTCCCCATGCTCGACATCATCAATGGGATGGCAGGAGTGCTTTCACTCGCAGCCTGACTTGACATTGTGTTGTAGTTGCTCGAAGACATGATTGTGGATATTTAGTGGGGGTAAAGTTTTGACCCGGTCGAAAAAAACTTTAAAAATCGGCCCCACGGTAGGCGCCAAAAATGGTGTAAATATAGCTGGGTGGGTTAACCGGATTTGACCTGGACACACTCGACCCGTAATATAAAACACACAGCAAGAACACAAAGTATGACCTTGACCGGGTAAATCTCCTCAGTCAGAATTATATTTCTTACTCTATCTCAAGAGTGAAATTTAGTGAGAGAAAAATTGGATCCCCTCCCTTTATCAAATATCATCATATTTATAGAGGAGGATTTGTGACCCTCCCCTGTTCATCCATGGACAAAATAGGAAGCTCGTGGGAAGGTCATTATAGATAATGGAAGCACTGTACAATCATAGAATTTAGCAACTATAAGCCAAGACATGTACTGTTCAATCAAAGACTATAGATGGATATTCTCAATCCAATCAGCCCTGCAAAGTGACAAACATCCCTTTCACTGTTTGTCTTGTGATGGATGAGCGGCGGGGTGTCCCCTCGACCTCTGACGTGGTTCACCATGCCTAAGAGACTGGACCAATGTTAGCCAAGTAAAGTGATATGACCGGTCACCTTCTCTCAAAGGTTACCCGGTCATTTCTTGCGCTCAACCCGTCTTTTTGGTCTTCCGGAATATCCTTCGTAGCATAAGGTGACATTTTGGCTATCGCCCAAAATGTGACCGGTCACTTTTTTAGTGGAAATGACCGGTCAACTTTTGACCCGTCCCAATCGAAGAGTTAACCTCATTTGGTGATTGATAAAAGTGACCGGTCATATTATGACCTGTCCCTTTCGGTTATCCGGGTCGGGTATAAGGATATACCCATCAGGTGCAAACCTGCGGGGTACAAAAACTTGGGGTACAAATAGCTTTATCCAATCGTAATAAGGACATTATTGTTGTAGAAAGGTTGAATTTGCAACTCCAAGAGCCTTTAAGCACTGACCCGATAAGATATGTAAAATGATGTAAATCAGAAATTCAGCAGCTCGTTTAAAAAAGAGCAGCCCCAAAGACACACAAGGAGTTAATTTTTAAAGCCCAAAATGACATCAATATATAACTCTCATTTGTAGCAAATCTGCCCCTTCTAAGGTAAACGTTACTAGGCTATGCCCTGCGGGTAATATTTTGGGACGGTAAACTTTTTATACCAGCTGACCGACCATATTGTATCCCCACCACAAAAAACCCCGACCTCGGCTTGGACTTACAGATTAGTATACACTGCTTTTCCCTAGTCGTATACCTACGAAAATAAAGTCTAATAAGGACAATATTGATTATCTAGCATCTCGAAGCCACTTCATCAAGCATCTCTATAGCAAAAAACTAACAAATTTGTTGATTGCACTACACTTCGTGCACACCAAATTGTACACCAGTACTTTGTACTAACACATGGATGACACACTAGCTCAAAATAATAATGTGAAATTTTACAATCGAACTGACATTTTGTGGCAATGTGTGTCAGTGCAAAGCATTGGTGTACAACTTAGTGTACACCAAGTGGTGTACAAGTAGTATAGTTCATAAACTAATGTAGTTATTAAATCCCTTAAATGATACAATTCTTCGACAATAAATACGCTTTCATTGCATTATCATATTTCATAATTTCTTAGCTTTTTGAGAGCCAATTTTTGAAGAAATTGTCGTGGTCTTGAGCATTTAGTAGTTCACTCATATCTACTCTTGGTGAGAATTTATTCCTGAGTGTTTAAGTGTTTTTATATACTTGAAGGGAGGTTTGTTCCCTTGTAATTCGGAGGAAGTTTTCGTTCCTTCGTGTGAAGTCTTGGAGTGCAGTATCTCCGAGCAAAAGGCATTGTGGCTCGTGTGACTCAAGTTCTCAGGTTGTATCGGTTTGTTAAGAACTTTTAAGATTAACGGAGTTAGTGTAACTTGATAGAGTCTCTTGGGAGGCTGGACGTAGCCACACGTTGTGGTGAACCAGGGTAAAATACGGTGTGCTCCTTCCTTACGCTCTTTACTTTACCTTCCTCGTTTTAAATTCTTGCGATTTTGTTTTAAACGTTATTCACTACCCCCTCTAGCATTGGGCCTTTATTCTAACACTCTCTTTGCTATATCATTATTTGTTCATTTGCATATCATATAGATACATTGGGGACTATGCATGATTTAAGTGTGGAGGGAGGTTCTCATGTTTATTTCGTTGATTTGGGGAGTATATTTTTGGGGCAATTTTTTTTCTTGGATAGGTTTTGGTTCCAAATATTTATGTCATTATTAGTTGCATATCTTCTTATTTAGAGCATTGTTTTAAAAAATGACCCAAAAACTTTATTTTTTTCCCCTTTGAGCTTTATTTTGAAAGATGACAAATGTTTCTTTTATATACTCGCTTTGAGTCTTATGCCCATTTTCTTGATAAAATGACGTTAAAGAGTTTGAATCTTTCTAGGTATCCTTTAGAATTTTATTTTCTAGAACTGGTCATCCTTATACTATGTAGATGTTGTCTTAATAACCTTATTTGATCTTTAAAGTCTTAAAAAGAAATCAGTTTTAGGAGTCTTTTTATTTTTAGAAAATTGTGTGATTTTTTTAGGCTTGTTTTTTTGAACTTTGCTACCGTTGCCATTGAGCCATTTGAACCATAGGAATTCCTTAGGAAACTTTTTTGTGGCAACTTTAGAGCATTTTTTTTGTAGAACTCAAAAAATCCACTGTTTAGTTTTCCATCCATGTAAGATTTCTAGCTCCCTTTATTTTTAAAATGCTATGGGTATAAAGTCTTAGTAGTGGGGGTGTAAAGTGTACTTTGTCTTTCTTGATGATGATAGAAAAAATCCAAATGATTTCTTTTTGGTCTTTTGAATGAGGACGTTCAAGTCTTTAGTGTGGAGGTATTTGATAAATCGATTTTGGGTTAATACTTTTTTATTTGTTTTAAGGCACTTTTAATACTTTTAGTCTTTTATTTTTAGTTGATTAGAATAGTTTTATTTTAAGTCTCATTTTTACTATCTTTTAATTTTTCTTTCAAAAATAAAAGTTTTTTTTTAATCTTTTTTTACATTTTATTATTTTATTTTCCCTAACCCAGAATTATCAGATATCTTATTTTGGAGAAAATATAGGAGAAGGCCAAAAATGCAGTTCAGTTTGGAAAGAAGAGATTGAGTTTGGGTCGGAGCCCAAACCCATTATCAAAAAGTGCTTAGCCCACCCATTTATGGTCAATCAATGAAATAAAAAACGAAGAAAGAATCGATGCTTCTTCTTCATCAACTAAATGGCGATCGAACACCCGCTCCAAATCAAAGATCCAACGTTCAACCATGAATCTCGCTCCTCATTCAATTACCGGCCAAACGCTCCAACGGGAAAAAATTAAAGGTCCTTTGCTCCTAATCTTCTATCAATTAAGCTCTAGAAATAGCAATTTAGGAGGGGGAACGACGAGAGATTCAAAGCCGCGGCCTAGCCGCGGTGGAAGACGGCTGGCAGCAGCTCTCCAGCTCCAATTTCCTCAATTTCTTCATCTTCTTCAACAATTGGTAACCCTTGTTTGTCAGTTTTTTCCCCTCCAATTCTATGTAAAAGTTTGTTTTTGATTCCATTTTTACATTTTAGTTTGTTGTTGTGTTAATTTCGAAAATTCCAAAAATGGTTGGTGTTCCTTTTTTTGTGTTTTTTTAATGTTTATATTAAATCCCTTATGAATGAGAATTGATTCATACTATTTTTCTTCAATTATTGAGCAAGTTGTTCTTGAATTGGTTGAATTGCATAATTCAATTTCATAAGTAGGTTGATATGTGGAGTTCAGTTTTTGTTGAAGCTATTTTAGCTCCATAAGATAGTTAAATAAACTCCGAATTCATACGTGATTCTTTGTTGTGATTTGTGTTTGTTGATTTTAAGAATTTTGGACTTCTTATGGAGTGATTTTGTTATAATTTCGTATGTTTGTTTGTTATTTTCATTAAGTTGGGGTTGTTTAAGCTCAAAAACAATTCTCAATTTAGTGAAAATATGTTGTGTTCATTTATTTGAATAGAAAAACGTCATAGGTTTGAGAAGTTCATGGAAATCTTTGAAATGTTCTCATTGTAACATATTTATCCGTCCAGGTCTGCAACCCCTTTCGGACTAAAGTATTAACATGGTAATCGTAAAATTTAAAAATTTTAAACACTTTTATTTATTATAATAATTATTTTCATAACAGAAACAATACAGAGTTTTCAATATTGTGGAAGCTTAACAAATCATAATCACAAACATAATTTATTTATATTCTTCAATTCAAAATCATCACATCCAGTCCGACTATCTCGCCTCCGTATGCCTCCAGGATCACGTCATATTATTCTTTCTATTAACCTGCGTGTAGCAAATAAAACACACTACACGCTCAGCGGTAAAGCTAAGTAAGCATATCTAAAGCGTCGAATATCCACATAAATTGAATCTCAATTCATAATCAACCATTTGATATCATGCACATAATGCTCAGTTCGAATATTCATTTTTCAACATTCATTGTTCCATATTCAACATTCATTTTCATATTCAACATTCAAATTCAATATTCAACATTCGTAGTCAACAATATCCTTGAACTATTCTTAGTCTAAGGCCAATCTCTTTCATATTTATCAATCCTTAAACGAATTCTAGTTTAAGATATTTATAATAAATTCTTAAACTATATTTTAGTCTAAGGTACTTTTATTCAATCCTTAAGCTAGGCCTAGTTTAAGATAAACATACCTTCGCTTAAGGTCAACCAGAAACCGAACAACGGAATGCTCACTGTCGGGTTAGGTGGTATCCCCAAATGAGTTCCTCTAGTTTGGTTTGTAGATCCCGTATGTACGTTTTAACCCAGGCCACCGAATATTCATAATTATACCCAAAAGGCCTATTTCTAAGCTATCTTAGAGGTCTTCTAGATAGTCTTAGAAACCAAATGTCAACCTAGGTATATCTTAGAGTTCTTCTAGATATCCTTACCATCCAAATCATTTCATAATCATCAACGTATTTATTTCAATTCATAATTTAATCCTCAATAATTTTTTTAATCAGTGGATTCATCAAGTCATAATCATAATAATCATTTATCATAATCATCAATCAACATAACTTCCAATAACAAATAGCGGTCTAGTTTCGTTTGTTAACACTCTAACTTACCGTCATACATCACATAAGGTTTTATTTACCAAAACATCATTTTTATCATTAAAAATAATCCTTGTAATGATCATAATCAATTGGTATCAAAATAGAATTTCATAGTTCAAAAATCAGATTTTCTGGAAAGTAATCGGATCAGACGGTACCCTTCACGGTACCTTGGTACCGGCTAACGGTACCTCGGTACCGTGCCGGCGTTAGGGGGGTGCCGCCGCTGGACAGGTACCGCCAGAGGACTCCATTGTTGACGGTAGCATCCTACCATTCCGGCGGTAGGTGGGTACCATTTGGACGGTACCTAGCTACCGTTCCGGCGGTAGTGTGTTACCGTGCACTGTTCATCGTCTTCTTCCTCGGGTCCATTTTCGGGAATTTCATTTTTAGTCACCAAACTTCAATTAAACTATATAGAAATGTTCTCCAATGTTCATAGATCATTTTGGTAACATTAGTTCGTAGTTTAAACAATAATTTCAAGGTTTATGATTCTTGGTTCTTCAAACATGTCAAACACAAAACTCAACCAAACGACTGTTTATGTAATGCCCCAAAACATACCCTAGAATTATTAATGAATAAATAATCAATTAATCAAATTTGTTTTGATTAAAATAAATTACTGTTGGGCTTTGGGCCGATATGAAATGTGTTTTGACATCCAATATCAAAATCTGGATAAGTCTCATAGAGATAAATCCACTATGTAGACTATTTATGTGGCCTTGATTGGGAACCTGAGTACAGACCCAAATCAAGAGTAAATAAAGAATTTGTTTAGAATGTAAATATTGAAATGATTTCTTAAAATAAATCATGAGAATAATTGATATGAATTAAATGAGAGAACCTTTTATGAGAAAGGTCAATTAAACCAATTTTAACTCTGTCAAAGTCAAACACCCAAAAATATGATGTCAGGAAAAAGTGTTACAAATAAATATAAAAATTATATCGTTGGATAGAAATTAACTGTCCGATCGCAACGGTGCTAACGAAATTCAATTCAGAGAAAGTTGGACCAAAAAGTGTTCCCCGACTGAGACCAAATTAGTCCCAATCAGGGACTTGCGTTTAGAATTGTAGAGAAAGGCCGTCCGCTCCACTCAGCCGCTGAAACAGTCGAAGGAGAGCTCATCAACCTGTGTCTTCTTCCTCTTCCTTCTCCTGTAAAAGGCTACCATAACACCCTCCATTCTTCACCATTTCTTACAAAATTTCATTCTATTCTGTTGCTGGGAGTGAGGAGAACGTGGTGGTGCTGTCGTATTAGTGTGAGGTCGCGGGAGTTGAGAGCTATCGTCGCCGTAAGTTTCGCCGGAAAATCTTCAAAACCTTCATTTACCTTCGAGATAAGCCCGTAGATATATCTAAAGATTAGAATGTTCATATAGGTTGTTTTTACGTTCATAAATGGTCATTTAGTTGAGTTTTGTGTTTGACATGTTTGAAGAACCGAGAATCATAAACCTTGAATTTGATGTTAAAATCATGAATTAATTATACTAAAATGATCTATGAACCTTGGAGAACATTTCTATATAGTTTAATTGAAGTTTGGTAGCTAAAAATGATAATTCCGAAAGTGGACCGAAGGTAGAAGACGATGAACAGTAACCGGCGGACCGATCCAGTAAGATGGATCGATCACTGCAGTAGAAGAACTCTACAGGGTGGATCGATCATCTCCTGTGGATCGAACACCTGGAGAGAAATTGTGAAGATGATCGATCCTCCAAGCTGGATCGATCACCCGACCTGTCTGCTCCGAGAATTGTACAATAAAAATGATATTTTTGACACATAAAACCTTATGTGATGCATGACGGTAAGTTCGGGTGTTAACACCCGAGACTAGGTCGCTAATTGTTATTAAATGTTATGTTGAATGATCATTATGATGAATTACTATTGTGGCCAATTATGAATGATAAACCTACTGATTAGAATGATTATTGATGATTAAATTATGATTAAAAATGAATATAATGGTGATCATGAAAACAGTGTATACTATTAAGAATATCTAGAAGAACTCTAAGATATACCCACTTGTATATTGATGATCATTATTAAGGATATCTAGAAAAACTCTAAGATATACCTCCTTGACCAATTCATATTTCGGGTTAAAACGCACGTACAGGATCCAGACCGGATATCACCCACCCGACAAATCACTGTTCGGTTGGTACGTAATCCACATGACTCATAGGGTGGATTATCGATTCTTGTGTTTTGTATTAAACTATTTACAGTTTAAGGGCCTGGTTAGAAATATTGCCTTAGACTAGGATTAGCTAAGAGGTTGTTATGAAATGATTTAGCCTTAGATTAAAGAATAATTTAAGAGCGTTATTGATATATTGAGTATGAAATGACTTGGAATAAAATATTGAGAATATTATGAATGTTTGATTCATCTATTGTGTGCATGATATCAAATGGTTAATTAAGAATTGAGATTCAATTTATGTGGATGTTCGACGTTTTAGATATGCTTACTCAGCTTTACCGCTGAGCGTGTAGTATGTTTTATTTGCTACACGCATGTTAATAGAAAGACTGATGTGACATGATTCTAGAGGCAGAGGGAGGTGAGATTGTCGGAATGGATGTGATTCTTGAATTAAAGAACATAAATAAATTATGTTTGTAATTATGATTTGTTAAGCTTCCGCAATATTGAAAACTCCGTACTGTTTATGATATGAAAAATTATTATTGTGATAAATAAAAGTGTTTGAAATGTTTTAAATTTTACGATTACCAAGTTAATACTTTAGTCCGAAAGGGGCTGCAGACCTGGACGGATTAGGGTGTTACAGTTTATGAACGTAAAAACGATATATACGAACATTCTAGTCATTAGATATATCTACGGGCTTACCTCGAAGCTAAACGATGATTCCGGCATTTGAACAGTGAAACTTCCGGCAAACACCACGGCTTGCTCCAGTGACTTCTCACCAAATTGACAGCACAATGATGTTCCTCTCTCAACAAGGAACAAAATAGAAGGAAGAAAGGAGAGGATTGGTGATGAATTGAGAATGCAAGGTACTCTTATATAGCAGAGTCCTGGGGAAGAAGCCAAGCGATTCTTACGTAGAATTTCCTTAGTGCGCAGGACAGCGACTCTAATTGATCTACATGCCGTTACCTGATTGTGACCAATTTTGGTTCCAGTCGGGGTACACTTTTTGGTCCAACTTTCTCCGAATTGAATTTTGTATGCACCGTTTGGATCGGACAGTTAAACTCTACCCAACGATATACTTTTTATATCTATTTGTAATACTTTTTCCGACATCATATTTTTGGGTGTTTGACTTTGACAGAATCAAAATTGATTCAGTTGACTTTTATTCAAAAAGGTTCTTATACTAAATTCATATTATTCAATCTCATGATTTATTTCAATAAACCATTTCAATATTTACATCATAAACACATTATTCATTTATTCTTGATTTTGGGTCTGTACTCATGTCCAATTAAAGTCACACAATAAGTCAACATATTAGATTTATCTTCCAATTATATTTATTGGATATCAATACATATTTTATTTTGGCCCAAAGCCCAACAACAATTTATTTTAATAAAAACAAATTTGATTAATTTGAATAATTATCTATTAATAATGCTAGGGTATGTTTTGGGGCGTTACACTCATCATTAAGAGTAAAAGTTTATTTCAGTGTATGAAATTCTGGCAAAAATGCTTAGAAATTGTGCATGGGAGTTGAATAAAAAATTGCTCTTTTATAAACTTTTTCTATAGAGGAAGTATGTTCTCATGCTTGAATATAGAGTTGGGGTTCAAAAGTATAATTCAATATGGGCCTTTGAATTGCATGACTCCGGGTCGTATGAAGAGTTGACAATCCTCCATATTGTGGTCAAGGAAATGAATCAACTCGGCCTTTAATTGATTTTTCCTATTCTTAAGTGCGTAAGTTACGTAATATATTGTCTACGTGTCTATGATACGTGTAATGTTTGACTTGTGTTTGTTCTCTTTTTCATTTTGTTTTGGGTTCTATTATGAGCAAAGTTGGGGGAACTTTGAGTGTCCTCTAACTCCTCACAAAATGAACACAAAGTAGGTAAAAGATAAGAGAAGAGGAAGAAACGGCAGAGAAGAGCCGTGTGAAAGAAGAGAATAGGAGGTAGGGAGAGCTAGGGTTTAGGTTAAATCTTTCTTAAATTTTTATTAACGAAAAGATATATTTATAGTTATCTAGGACCCTGTCGGTTCGACTCTCTTTTTATGATCTGGGAAAAAGAACTGAAAAGAAAACCTAGAAATGAGCTTATAAATCTGCTCGACACCCTAACTATAACAATAATAATGTAATATTAAATGTTCAACAATTCTACGTAGCTAACATGCATAAAACATTGTCATGAGCAAGCTACACAATATAATCATTGCGCCACACCGGAGATCTTCACACCCTCGTTCCTCTTCGACGGTCTTCCTCCCAGACGTCCTCCCAATGGCTCTCTAGAACCGCATCACATTCCACCTCCCCCGGCGAGTCATCCCCATGCACCTGCGGCGTGTTCACAACATTCCTCCTAGGTTGGACAAGCACCTTGTCAGCAAGGTGCAGCTCTGGATAGTAGCGCCGAAGTGATTCCACCGACTCCCATGTGGCATCGTGCACCCCGCCTTCAGACCATTCCACAAGAGCTTGCCGCACCAAGTTAGTCCCCACCAACACTGTCCTATAATCATGCACCCGAAGCGGCCTGGAAACCAGATTACCATCCACAAACTCTGCCGGAAGAGACGATGCGCTGCGAGTGAGTTCCCCTTTGAAAGGTTTAAGGAGGGACACATGGAAAACCGGATGGATTCGGGCGTAGTCTGGAAGTATCAAATGATTCGCCATTTCACCAACACATGCAGCCACCTTGAACGGCCCATAATAACAACGTGCCAATATTTGCGACGAACTCCGATGCACTAACATTTGGTGATACGGTTGCAACTTTAACAAAACCAAATTGCCCACCTCAAAATGAATGTCACGCCGGTGCTAGTTAGCCATAGTACGCATGCGGTGTTGCGCTTCCTCGAGGTTCCGACATAGGGTCTGCAGCAGCGCTGATCGTTTGGTAAGCAAGGTGTGCACCGCCGGCAATGCACATTTACCTGGAACAGAGGGCAGAAAAGATGGGGGTGCCCGACCGTACACGGCTTGAAACAAGGTCATTTTCAATCCTGAATGATAACTAGTATTGAGGGCATATTCGGCCCATGGTAGGAGCACCGTCCAACGACTCAGCTTAGCATGAGTGAAGGCCCGTAGATACTGTTCAACCCCGCAGTTCATCACCTCCGTTTGACCATCCGTTTGCAGATGAAAGGTTGTGCTCAATTGCAAGGTGGTACCACTCAACTTAAGAAGTTCCTGCCAAAATTTACTTACAAAAACCTTATCACAATCTGACGTAATGGTTTTTGGGAAGCCGTGTAATTTCACCACAATGTCTACAAATAGAAAGGCCACCCGGTGCGCATCAAAATCCATTCGTAAGGCCCCCAGATGGATATATTTCGAAAGGCGATCAACCACCACCAAAATAATGGAGAAGCCCCAAGAGGGAGGCAAACTCACAATAAAATCCATCGATACGTCCTCCCAAATCTACAGTGGAATTGGAAGAGGCTGCAAAAGACCCGCCGACAGTTGAGACGAGTATTTAGTGGTTTGACAAACAAAACAAGAGGCGATGTAGTTCTTGATGTCCGACCGCATGCCCTGCTAATAAAAAATCATTGCCAAATGCTGAAAAGTGTGGTGGACCCCTGTATGGCCCGCCATGGGCAAGTCATGATACTCGCGGCGGCGGCGGCGAGGCTAATGTTTTACGAGACAACACGCGTGTACATTTCGTTAATAACGAAGTGTATGGAATTGAAGCATGCATGCACTAACGTATGAAGAATCAGTCGACTCTTCGTAATGTCCGTCACTTGGTTCAGCGAAGAGTCCAAATTCCTCTCCTATAAAAGGAGGGGTCGCGGCAGGGATGAGAATACTCGAAAAACATTCTCCCTGCGTTACTGAAATCTTTCCGGCTATCCCCGTTTCCGATCATCTTCTCCGGCAGAGACTTCCGTCTTTCTCGTTCGTCGGTGCTCTGTTCTACCGCTCTAGACTTAGCACGAAGCGGTTTTATCCTGGGAGAAGATTGCCCACGTTTGCCAGTACGGGAGGCGGGCAATACTACCTTTAGGAAAGCTCCGGCGACTCCGCTTTCCTAACCTTTGCTTCGAGAATCTATTCTGGCGACGCACAACCCTCCGTCCGAAGTCACCACCTTGCTGTCCGTTCGCGTTCCACTATTCCGTTCGAGCATCCGAAGAACTCCATTTTTCTTTCTTTTATTTCGTTGTAAAATCCGAACGTTTTATAAGTTCGGATTAATTTTTATTTTATTTCCCCACTGTAACATTTAACATTCTGTTCCAATCAAATATAATTCAGCCTAATGAGATGAAAATTAATTAAAATTAAGTAAAATTTAGAACACTTAATTCAATTTCATGCCCAATAACTGTTTCAGTTGGTTTAGATTGAACGCGATTTGATAAAAATTGAGTGAAATTTTATGAAATTACATACGATTTGGTTGAAATTGAGTGAAATTGAATGTAAATAGATAAAATTTGATTGAAGTTAAATGTAATTGAGAGCACACGTTTGGCCAACTACATTAATGAGAGCTCTTGTTTCAGAGGAGGTGAGAATTACCTTTTCTTAACCGTGCTTTTGTTTGCACAAATTTTAACATAATATTTCTTATCTATGTTGCATTTTGTTTCCTATACCAATTTCTAAGTAAAATAAATTTAAGAGACATGAAATTTTGCATTTTGATTAAATATATAGTAAGTCATTTTAGAACGTAGGGAGTAATAACTAATATAAGTATATAACTAGTTCAGATGGTAAAATAAAAGTAAATATTTAAAATCAAATTAGAATAATGTTCTGTTCCAATCAAATATAATGGAGCCTAATGAGATGAAAGTTAATTAAAATTAAGTAAAATTTAGTAAACTGAATTCAATTTTACGCCCAATAATTGTTTCAGTTGGTTTAGATTGAACGCAATTAGATAACAATTGAGTGAAATTTTATGAAATTACATACAATTTGGTTGAAATTGAGTGAAATTGAATGTAATTAGATAAAATTTGAGTGAAACTAAATGTAATTCAAAGCACACGTATGGCCAACCACATTAATGAGAGCTCTTGTTTCAAAGGGGGTGAGAATTACCTTTTCTTAACTGTGCTCTTGTTTGTATAAATTTTAACATAGTATTTCTTATATAAATTGTATTTTTTATTATTATACAAATTTCTAAATAAAATAAATCTAAGAGACATGAAATTTTGCATTTTGATTAAATATATGGTAATTCATTTTAGGACGTAGGGAGTAACTAATATAAGTATATAACTAGTTCAGATAGTAAAATAAAAGTAAAAATTTGAAATTACATTTATGTAATTGTTCACTAATGCACATGAATATAATATGTTTATTTTCAATTAGAATCACTTTCACATATAATCAGTTTCGGATATTACCAGTTTCGAGTTTTGTCTTTTTTGAATCTTATTAGTTTCAAATTTAATCGATCGGATCTTATCAGCCTCAAATGTAAATCAAGTATGGCTACATTTAGTTTGATTTTAGTTCATTTCGGATCATTTCAGTTATTCGGTTATAGATAAGATCTTCACTCTTTAGATTATTTCAGTTTTGATTTCGGATTACTCTTTTCAGATTGACTAGAGCGAAACTATAGCAAATCAACGTTTTTTGGGAGTGGGGTAGGGGGTGATGGAGTGTAGGTTAGGGGGTTAGGAGTAGGAATAATCAATTTTTTCAACGTAGAACAATAGCCCCCGTTGTCATATTATGATATCAATACTTGTCCAAAGACGCGGGCCCATAATGGGCAAAGATCTCTTGACATTAATTATCAATGTTATAATATGACATGAGGCACCTATAGTTTGCAAAATTGATAGTTTTTTCTCTTAACTTTCCATGCCCTCCGCTTAAAATACTAATTTCCGATTTTGCACTACTGAATTGGTGATCGAGAGGTTTAGGGGTTATGGGATAGAAACCATAAATTTTGTAAATAAGATAATAATAATAATAATAATAATAATAATAATAATAATAATAATAATAATAATAATAATAATAATAATATAATATGAAGCATGCACGTAAATAATTTTTAAGTCACTGATGAAAGAAATTAGAGGAAGTTAGAAAGAACAGTGAGTTAGAATATATTTTCAAGAATTTAAAAATATTAGAAATTAAGTTTTAGAAAGTAGAATAGAACATTAGTTCTAATATAGAAGTTGAAATTGGGAACGAAAAAAACAAGCCTGGTAAGGTTCTGGAAGGAGACAGAGTTGAAAACGGGGGTGCGGCTTATAGAAAAAAGGAGGGTTATGCAATTATTCGGAGCATTGGCCTTTTGAAGGATCTTTGAGCCACCCCACCCCTTATATCCCCCACTTCCAATTAAAAGCACGCGGTACATATTGCCAAACATTGCCGCGTGGCCCATTTCCTCCATCGAATCATTCTTGTCCACACGAATATCAAAGTCACTCTTAAGAATCAATTTTTAGTTGGATATTTTGGGATCTTAGACTAGTGGAAATGGACGTAACGTTCACCCATCAAATGCATTTTTAATGCCTGCATGGCGTTCAACACCGCCCCCTTCCGATGTCACCTAGGCGTTATGCGGAGAGAGTTAAAAGTTTGACGCTGCCGTTGGCTGCTGCATGCGACCCCCCCCCCAATGGTCTTATTTTAGGTCGTTGGTCAAAATTTTAAAAAAAAATTATTTTTTATACTATAAACACCTCTTATTTTAAACACAACATATTCTCATTCCCTCTATAATTCCTCCAAAATACGGAGCATATTCTATTTCATTTAATTCTATTTACAAAATCAAAAAAAAGGATAATCTTCATCTGACAATGAAAGAAAAACTCTTATTTTTCATTATTTTGCGACAGGCCGTTACCAATGGTGGCAATAAGGACAACTAGATGAACCAAGATTGTCCCAACGATTGAGTCGATGTGAGCGTTTAAATCGTGATCGAACGACTGCACACTCCGTGTGTAATTTTTTAATTTTTTTATTTAATGTTATGATTAAAATCTTTTTTATTAATGCAAATTTTTTTATTTAATGAATTATTGTCGTTTAAATTTAATTAATTAATAAATTCTTATTAAATTACTTTTACAAAATGTGTACTAAAAAATTTAAAAAATAAAGGTTTGAAGCCCTGAGACTTCAAATTTATTTCCAGTGAAACTGTGAGGTATGTTAAAAAGGAGTTATGTGACAGAATGAAGGTTTGAAGTGGTAGAAAATGCTAAACCTAATAGTACAAAAAGGTACAGGGAATAGTTTTAACCAGAGGTGGAAAATGGTAAACCTAATCATACAAAAAGAAAAAAGGAAAAAAGGCTATTGTTCTCAAAGACATAGCTTTACATATATACAATAGACAATTCATACATAGATAATGATCTCGACATGCTTTACCAAAACAGCAGACAAAAACGAAGACGGAGTAATAGGCCATGCTAACTAGCTAGATCATCGAAAAAAGAATTTAAAGAAAAAAATAATGAACTTACAAGTTACAACAGTAAGCGTCCTAGCTATGCCGAAACCCCAGTGACAGTTCTTCCTAACCTAAGAATATAAAAAAAGGTTAGTTAGAAGCGACTGTTAAGTCTGGTTTCCATTGATCAAACTAGTAGCAATGAGCATGTAGGGAAGCAGCATTGACATCCCAGGGACTCAACAGAGGCAATCTTGTAGGTTTTAGGCAAATTAAAGAGATCTGTTTACAAAAATGACAAGTTCAAAGGGAGAAAATGACATGCCAATGACAAAAGCAAGTGGCTGTAGTGAAGTAGAGATACCCTATAAAGATGAGATCCCCTATTCCAGAACTGCATTTCCATAACAATTGCATTTATGTCGCGTGTATTTAACAGGCCATAACATCCACTGGCAATGGAGGTAAAATAGTCTCCATTGGTAATGGTTTAGTAGCTTCGGGCAAATAATGGACTAAAAATTAAAATGGCACATTAATATTTCATTGCTTCTTACTTTCGATGGAGTTCTGGAAAATAATTACAGCAATTTATCAATAAAGGTAGAGCTAGTGTTTCTAAAAGACCGTCGGTCCAAGAAAACATAAAAACAAGTCACAAAAATCAAATAGCATAAGATAAAGTGTAAGAGGTTTTGGAATAGAGGATCTCATCTCCAATTCCTTTTGAACTAATGCAACATATAACAAAAAAAACTGCATGCATGAAGAGTGAACAAAAAGAGGTATGGACTAAAGGATGGAATATTGGAACTCACTCACCATTAGTAGTTGAAGCAACAGTTTTTAAAATGCTCCTCTCTTGCCAACACAGCGAGGAGATGCTGATGCTGAAACTGAGGTGGATGACGTGAGTGGCTGTTTCACAAATGGATGCTCCAGTAATTGAGAAGCACTTGGACGAGCTATTGGGTCTACTTGAAGACAGCTATGTATAAAGTCCCACGCATCATCTGAGAGTGTGTTAGGCACATGAGGTGGCTCACCCTTTCCAATCCGGAAAATTGCTTGCATATGCTATTACAAACATAGAGAAACCATGTCATGTCCACACTGAAGTCTGTCGTCATTTCTAAATTAACAGATTTGTGTTTTACTATTTGAATATTATTTTTGAAATGACACACCTTAGTATATCAACAGCCTTGCAATCTAGTAACACTCTACTAATATTTAGCACTTGTATCCATACTAGGTAAATAAGAAAGCATTGTAGTAAAAAAAGTGTTACCAAATTGTTAGGGATCCGAAGAGATGCCAGAGATAGATGAAGAACCCCTCTTTTGTCATTATTGTTTGTAAATGTCCTTGACAGTTCGGTGTTGAATATACTTGTGCTTTTCGTTCAAAAAAAAAGGACCCCTCTCTCACCCGTGGCTAAGAGGAAAAACTCCATATCGTATAGTCTATGACTTATTAAAAGATTTGTTTAATTGGTTCAACAATGATAATTTTATTAATAATTGTGTGACTCTAAATAGGCAACTCCGTACAAGAGACCTATCATAATCAATAATCATGCATGAATCCATATTTATTCTATTAACTAAAATAGAATACGACTACTAATAGGAAACTATCAATACTCCTAATCACAGGAAACTAATAATAATTATAATATTAATAATAATAACTAATTAAATATTAAACCCCAGATTTGTAAGAATATTCTTTTAATATTTTATTGTGCTGTAACTTGTAAATAAAATTTATGTACTTGAAAGCTATGTGGGAAAAAAAACTCGTAAACGCAACAAAATTTCAAAAATCATTTTGAATGTTGGGTTTACTAATGAATAGTAAAATATGGAAAAGGGAGACAAGGGAATACATTCTCTAGATTGGAGTAAGGGAATTGGCGTGTAAGCATCTCCAAGACGGTGCATCCAAGACTCCATATGTCTGCCGCAAGCCCATAACCACCACTCCTACTGTTAACAACCTGCGCCCACAAATTGATGCTAAACTCGCTTAGATTATCACAACCTCGTTATAATTAGCTGTAAATAAGGATTTTTAAAGATCAGTTGATAAGTAGAATTCATTCTCTCATAATTACTCCACATATTTTAAAATAGCAAGTTGCCACAATGTCTTCCCAGACGCTAGAAGCCCCTAAACATTTCAAACTGGGCCAGATGCCCGACAATGGCAAAGCCACTTGATATTGGGGCGGGGTGGGTCAGATTGATACCAATTAACTAATAGAAAATAAATTTACAAAACATAAGTGCATAGAAAAAACAAATTTTATAGTAGATATCTGTTTACCTGCTTTTTTTTCGACTTACTTTTGCACAAATTATATGCGCAAACTACAAAGTGTTATTGGGCTATGTTTTGGGTGAGTCTGTGCAGGCTACTTCAACTACCTTTTAACATAATTTATCATCTGTATACTTGCGTTTTAAGTACTTAAGCATGTATTTGTCCAGTTTTGACTTTTTTTGGTCAACTATTTTTAACCTTTGACCTATAATTAAATAAAATATATAATGTATATTAATTAGATAAAATAATATTTTGAAAATATTTGATGTAATAAATCTAATAAACTATTTTTGTATCAATATCTAATATCATTTTTATTTAATTTGAGGTCAAACTTTATCAATTTTGACCAAAAAAAGTTAAAAGTAGACAAATACTAAGGAACGGGGGGAGTATCTAAAAAAATAATTAGATTTGAATTTGGGGTCAGACTGCTCGAGTTAAGCTGTATTTCTAATATTTGAAATAAGTGCTTTCAAACGTGACAGGTGCCAGAACAGCACCGATCAGCATCTGGCAGCTTTTGCACATAGCATAATACGAATATGAAATCTGCTCCTGAATAACGTGCAAATCTTTATCAAGAAAAACTGAAATGCTTTCTTTGTAATGGATTCCACATCAATACTTCAAAACTTCAGTTGATAATCAATTTTATGCTATTGCCATGTCAAAAGTTATTCAAAAGTAGCAGCCATGTAACAAAGATGTACATAAAAAGTTGGTTGATTAACAAAAGTCAGCTAATCTAGAAAACTCCTAAGTACTAACAGTCCTCAGCCATTGTGTGTGTGTGTGTATTAGTATCAAGAGGAATAAGAATATCTGAATCTAAAACAAAGCATTAAGTGCAAAGCAAGAAGTCAGCTCATACATTCAAGATAAATGAAAAGGAAAAGTTATCCACTTAATAATAGGCATCACATGTTGCTGGCCACTGATTTTACTAATTGATTTGAACGCATCTTATTATAGTTGACCGTCCTTAAAGTACAAGGAATTGTTTTTCATACTCCTGATTCTGCCAATTCACTAATCTATTCTAGGTCAGATCCCACTCCCATATCTCTATCCATATAAATGCATGATTAATTAATACTTTACTAGGTGCTAACAGTACAAATGGGATGAAAAAAATCAGGACGAACCTCAGGAGCCATCCAGAAGGCAGTGCCCTTGCAGGACTTCACATCGTTCAATTTAATGGACTGCACAATGTAACCACAATATCAGACTTGTTGCATCCGCAAAAGCTTTTCAAAAAGTACATGTAAAATATCAGCAATGTGCTGCTATAGGAGAAAATAATGGCATCACAGGTACAGCACAAAACAGGTAGAAGCAATACTACTACCTTTGCAAGGCCGAAATCTGCAAGTTTGACTGACCCATTAGTATCCACCAATATGTTTGCACATTTGATATCCCTAGAAGACAAATTAAGGAAGACTTAAAAAACCTAATAAAAGTGGTTTGGTCAAGTCAAATAAGAATTGTGATACAATTCAATAATACAAATGTGAATTAGTAACAAAATTGTAACTGGTTTATGTTCTGTAACATTGGATGGGCATACGGTTTGAAATTCTTATCAATGTATTTAGGATCCCTCGACTTCACCCACTTTCCAAAAAGGCAACTGGGTAAATACTTATTTCATTAAGGGCACACCCAGCTGATTAAAGTAGCCTAATGATGGTACATGGTAATGCAATGCCGTATGAATAATGTTCGCATACAGCTACTATGACTAAGGAACATTCTGCTCAAGGGCATGTTGAATAGATGGAGCGAACTTGGTTCCCCTTACTTAAAACATATGTTGAAACATTGTGAATAGAGAAATAGGTGTGATTGCTTTGATACGGAGAAATTATTGTGCCAAAAAGGAGCAGTGTCACTAAGCATAGTTAATAAGAATATAAGCCTCTTATTCTTATATTCTTATTCTAAATAAGCCGGAGAGTTGGATGAAGTTGGTGACGGAAAGAAAGTAGCCGGAGAGTGCATGAGAACTAGTGTGGCAACGGGATAGGGCTAGGGCAGCGGAGGGATGGGGCCGGATTAGGGGTAATTGTGACATTCACTCCTTTTCTTCTCATCAGGTTTTGTTCCAAAAAAAAATCGAACAAATATTCTTAAATAGAGGGAGTGTTATCTGATGCTTTGGAATATATTAAGGAGAAATCAAGTTTGAGAGTGTTTATTGTTCCCGTCACCCTTTTGTAGACTTGGGAGGATAAACCATTACTCCCTCCATTCCTCTAGGTTCTTCCAAGTTACTATTCATAGGGTCAAACTTTATTCACTTTCTTTACACTAATATTATAAATTGAATTGAAAATAACTTCAGTCCAAAAATTGAATTTATTTGTCAGGCATAGACTAAAACTAGTTTTTTTAATCACTAGGAGAAGAAATATATGGCATGAGCAAGATAATTTGCAAACACTCTACAAGTCTGATCACCTGTGGATAACATTTTGATCGTGTAGATACTTCAGCCCAAGCAAAATCTGCCTAGTATAGCGAGAGACTTGGGAATCTCGAAGCCAATATTTCTGATACAGTTCCAGAAGTGATCCCTTAGATACCAGCTCTAGAAATATATATAATTTTGAATCATCCTGCAAGGATGAAAATATATAAGACCATAAAATTTGGAACTAGAAACATAAACTACACCAAATAATAAACTAAAACAATATTCAGAATTAAGCTCCGTTAGGAGTGATCACATATATAGCATGCGAAAGAACTGGTAGAAAGATGTATACAAATAATGGGGAAAATGGAAGTCATAGATGCTAAAATTCCTAAGAACAAACGCAGAGAATTCATGCTTCTTAGGGAGCACCTGAACACAAGACCAAAATGCAGGAACAGTTGTATCCCCAATAGTATAAACAGTTAAACACATAAGGTCTATTTTATAAAGAGTTGCTTTACTGTCAAGAAAAACACTATGTATTGGAGTGCAAGACCTTTAGCACAAAGGATTGCATGTGAAGACAATCAATCAATGACGATGATGATAAAGAACAGTTCCTTGTTTTAGTACAGAGCTAAATAATAGATTACATATCACAAGCGACAAAATACTACAGCTTAAAAGTTAGAGGGGTGATACCTTCTCTGTACCATAGTACTGAACAATGTTCTCATGTTCAAACTGCCTTAAGAGAGCAATCTCCTGATTAAGAGAGAATAATACAAATGGGTCAGAGTTATCACATTTAGGGAGAGAGGGGAAGCAGAAAAGAATAATTGTTTGGTGGGTGGGTGAAGGAGGATTGATGGATTATATCCCTTCTCTAGTATGTGTGAGAAAGAAAATGCAAAGTAAGATTTTGATGAGATTCAAAAGAAAACAGGGTGAGAAATAATCTCATATTCCGTATTTTATAAAATATTATTACGGGAGATAATTGAACCCACTCGCTCTCTCACCAGACTATATTTTGGACATAGGTCCTCTCTCCCTTTGAGTTCATGTACCATGCCATCACTGCCTCTATTTCTCACCCCTCCCTCCCCCATTTCTCCTGATTTCAATTTCATCTCATCCAACACAAATTTTGTTCTCCATTTTCTTATACCATTTTTTCCTCTCCAATTTGTTCACCCATTTCTTTCTACACATCAGAGCACAACATGAGAACAAATGAAGATGGAAGAGGAAGCACTAGATTCTTCGTATCAAGTAAAAATAACATAAAATTGCAGTAAATGAATCACGACTAACATGTTCAAGGTTGCAAATGCGTTGCCTCCCTTCCTCACATTGATCCAGCAAAGAAACTTCCTTCACCGCAAAAAAGAAGCCACCACTGCAGAAAGTAGAATTAAAGAAAATGAGTTGAGACCAATAAATTGAACACCTACAACTAAAATGTTCAAGATAACAGCTCATTTGATAGCTTTTTTTATCTTAGCTCGCAGTTTTACGAGCACTGTTTAGTAATATTGGTCTGTTTTGATCTCACACCATCCACCCAAAAAGGGAACAACAATAACAACAAAGCCTTATCGGTGGGGTCGGCTACATGGATCAAACAACGCCATTGCTCCCTATCATGTATCATATCAGCTGTGAGATTGTTCACACAAAGGTCTCCCCTGATCAATGTTTGCCAAGTCCTCTTAGGTTTACCTCTTCCTCTAGCCACATGTCTATTCACCATTTGATCAAACCTTCTCACGGGATGCTCTATTGGTCTTCTCTCCACATGTCCAAACCACCTAAGATGAGTTTCCACCATTTTTCCTACAATAGGTGCCACTCCAACTTTAGCTCTCATATCTTCATTCCTTATCATATCCATACGCATATGACCGCTCACCCAACGAAGCATCTTCATTTTCGCCACACTAACCTTGTGTTCATGTTCACTCTTTTCTGCCCACCACTCTGTCCTATACGATATAGCTGCTCTAATAGCAATACGGTAAAATTCTCCCTTTAGTTTTAAAGGTACTTTTTTGTCACATATAAAGCCCAAAGCACTTCGGGTGATAACAAGTGTTGCAAATATTATTGGGCTTTAAAGTTTTAACTCTGCCTATGTAACTACGTTACATAGCCAGTCCGAAGTCCGGATAAAAGAATAGGGTTGTGTTAGGTCTCAGCAACTAACGTAAAACTTTGTCAAATCTTCATGACATGGATCCACCCAAAAAGGGAAAAGAAAAAGAAAAGAAAACAAGGTGTCTTTTGTTTGATTGTTTGTTTTTTTTTTGAAAATATGAAAGGATGTTGAGTGGTACTTTTGATGTGATATACCATATCAGAAACATCACACCCCAAAAAATCACTTCAATCCTTATCCTCTTCTCACTCTATTTGCATCAGAGGCCAAGAAGAACTAAATACCCCATCCACTACCAAGGCAGCATTACATGAATAGCTATATTTGTACAACAACAACAACAACATTACCCCAATGCCTCGAAGGCTTCTGCCCGTTGTGGGGTAAGGGGGTCGGATGCATGCAGTTTAGCCCCTATTTTAAAACATAAGCGGTTGTACGTACTAAAACTGCCATAAAAAATTGCCCCCGTCTCTTTTTTTAGCTCTATACTCCTTTGAAATGGAAGTAAGACCAGAATACATCATACCCCTCCCCCAGACTTTCTTTTGAGTGAGAGTTTCTATGACTTGGTTTCTTGTTTTAGCAGGTCTGCACAGACATAAAGATATATGTGTATGTTCTTTGCCTGATGATTTCCACTAGCCAACTCTCATTGCTTGATTTGCATCCTTAGCAAACATGCCATCACCTACTATAAACCTCTGTTATATGGTCTATGTTAAATCTGAGTCCTCAGATTAGAAACACGTTTCCCCATTCAGCCCATGCCAGTAGACATTTGTAACAAATGTTTGCCCGTTGTAGATAGCAACAATACCTCGGTTTATTAGCATCTCTTATATCAATAAAACAAAGAAAAGTAACAGTGACAAGTATACTTACTCTGCAATGCCTTCATAGACTGTTCCAAATGATCCGCTTCCTAAGAGTCCACCCTTCTGCCAACCAGTAATAATACGAAGGAATTTCCCATTCGGGGAAATGACTGACATAGGCTCAGTTGTGGTGCTTGAAGAATCATCATCATTTGAATTTGTGGTAAATGAACTAGATGCTGAAAGCACCCCATTCGTTAATCTTGTGCCTATATCATTTTTCGTGTCCCCATCTTCTCCCGCCCATTCCTGAGCACCGTTTATATATCCAACTTCGCCTCCCGGCCTCAATCTTTCCGGAAGCTTGAAATCTGATTCCTTGTCTTCATTTGGCCCAAATTCATTCACAACATCCCAAGTTGAACACGAATCATCGAGTGGAAATGACATTGGAGACGGTGTAGTCAAAGTAGGAGGCTTGAGACCCTTGATGCCTCGACGACCATCATTACCAGGAACTAATCTGACAGGCTCGGTTTCATCCAAAACGACACTATCACACCTTAGACGGTCATCAAATCTATCAACTGCTCCACAAACCCCGGCATCCTGGCTAGTGCCAAAGCCACCAACATCACAATCACTCCGCCTTGGATTCACCACACAAACCTCAGAATCTTTACAAACGATCAAACTAGCAGAATCACTAAGAAGGGGAAGGGGATCCGAAGAAGACCGCACCTTCATTGCCTCCCATTCGGCTGCTGGAATAATAAAGTCATCAGCAGAAAGCCCCAAGTCTCTGAACATCCCTTCAATTCCGCCACAGGTCCCATCAATTCGAAAGCTCCTCATTCTATCCAGGTCCAGGGATCCGCTGTAGGATGAAGAAGATGAGGTGGAGGGCTCGTAGTCGACATTCCTCAGAGCGATGCTGCGCTCGAGTTTGGGGGATTGCTTGGCGGCGGCGGATTTGCCTCGGCGGCTGGACTTGGAGTCCATCCGCTTCTTATGACCCGAGATAAAAGGCAATCGATGCATCTCGATTACGAGGTCGGGATCGATCCATGTAATAATCACTATACAAATGCTCTAAAGATTGAGCAGGCCAGCATCAGCGGTAAATCTATTGAAATCTTCCTATCTTCTTGGTAATCTACTGTCTACAAATCCGGAAACGGAGGAAATGAAATTGCCGCCGCCGCACGAGGACAGAGAGACGTATCGTCGTACACTGACCGAAGACTGACTTGTAAACGGAGCGGAAGAGGAGAGAGAGAGAGCGAGACAACGCGGGTTTGCTTGATTTTGTGTACTTTTGGAAAGCATGGTACAGTATTAAGATAAGTTGGTTTTCCACCCTAGGATAATGTTTGGGTAATTATACTAAGGAAAGGAATGTGGTGTAAATTTGAGATACATTTTTGGTGTATCCCTAGCATTTTTGAATTATATTACATGTCCTAAATATCATTCATATTTTGACTTTTTAAAGTCAAACAGTGACACTCTTTGATTATAAATTAAATATAATATGAACAAATAAATTATATAAGAAATTGATATATCAAAACTATATTCTAAGATGAACCCAATTATATTGAATTTATAATAAAATTAAATATATTTTTCTCACAATTTATGTTCAAAGTATATATCGATATTTGACTAAAAAATCAAAAAAGTAAAGGTTTTTAATACCGCAAGGAGTGTTATGCAGCCTGAAGTACTCAAAGTTGTGTACAGCTGGTAAAACGAAATGGCAAAAGACGCAGGCGAAGAGGAGAACTGGAAATTTTAGATCGGAGGAGAGGCGCCGATGAAGCGAGAGCAACGAATAGAAGGGAATGCTCTGTAGAAGATTAGTCCGATCAAAGAAGAAGATCCATTGTCCGGCAATGGAGATGCGCACAGACGATAAAGGGAGGCGCGCCATCAGACTATCCGCCGAAATTAAGTAGTTTAAGGAAGAAGAGCTACTCTGGTGGATGGATAAAAAAACACATTTGCCCAATCGGATGGATAAAAAACTCATTTGCCCGATCAAGACATGCATGCTTTTAATGCCTTCACGGGTACCAAAGACCCATTAGCCCAACAAAAAACCTATTTACCCAATGGGATCAATTTTTCATATTTGCCCAAACACTAAACTCCTTGAAGGTAAGTTTCCTCTTGAGATACTCACTAAAAAAATTATTGACTCCTTGAAGTGCGTGTTTGTCGGCTATCCTTATGATACGAAAGGATGGGGGTAGGGGCATTGGTCCAGGATCGGACTGGACTGAAGTCTGAAATTAGAAAAATATATGACTGAAGACTAGACTTATTCACAGTCGGTCTTGGACCGGTCTGGACTAAAAACTCTTAGATCGAACCGAAATAGACTTATTAGACCAATTTTTTTCAATTGACTTTCAAATCTTATACAACCAAAACACTACAAAATGTAATTCCATAGAAAAAAAGTAAGTAGCAACATCCATTCACCATTTGTACAAAACAAAAAGTCATGGGGAATTGGGGAGTAGGGTAGCAATTGATTTTAAAATAACAATTCAACTCAAATCTACATGCACTCATGGGGTTATAGGAATGGACGTGTATGAAACTGAAAAAACTTCATCAGATAAAAAATTACACTTTGATAATAAAGTAGGGAGCAAAAAACACATTTCATCCCTTTTGTAACAAGCTTTTTATCAATTGCACTTAGACCCATGACCCATGTAAACTAGAATGTAATACAAAATGCAAGAGATTATTAAAAGAAGAAAATATAATAGTACTAAAAATATTGGAATGGAAATAAAAGTCTAAAAAATTACTTGTAATCACGTTCTTTATTCTGTGAAAAATATCAAATCGCCATCAATGTTTGCATTCTTCAAATCTGGTGATGTGAAAGTTACATATTACATTTATTCCATCATTCACGATTAAACAATAAAATCAAAAACTAAAAATAGTAGTCTCCATACCTTTCTCTAATTTTTCTAATTCTTCTAAATTCTCTTCCATATTAAGTTTTGTTTTGCGAAATTGTGCACGAATCCAATCTTGCCCACATATAAGAGCTTGAACCATCTTTTATAACAAAAAAATAAAAATTGAATAAATTATGTGAATAACATATGTAATATACTAACAAAAAATATAACACATCACCTTTGGTGTTAGAGAACTTCGGAATTAATCCAAATGGCGGTTGCCTGCACTGAAAGCAGATTGTTATGTAACAATCAAAACTGGAATGGCTAAGATGTCACGAGCCATGCATGCAACAATGGGAAATCTTGCTTCATTAAGCTTCCACCAAGGTAGTATATCTTATTCCTCATCATCTCCCATTATCTCATCCAAATACCTATCAAATTCTGTTCTCAAAAACTTATTACTTCCTGAAGTTCTTGTATCACCTCTCATCTTCATTTTTACTTGTTCACTAATAGAGGACATAAGATCCAAACTTCCTCCTCTTGAAGATGAAGCACTTGTCATGAAAACAGAACTTTCCCCACTTAGATGATTTTGGGGGTATAAATCAGTCTATATTCTTCAAACAACGCCTTAGCAAACCTTTTTCTGTCTTCGGAAAGTGTTTCCCCTTCTACTTGACCATACATAGAATGTAAAGTTAATTGAATGCCAATATACTTTAAATTCGGATCAAGAATCACACCCATGAATAGCAACGTGTTCATCTTCTAAATATCACCTCAATAGTTATCATACTTTTGTTTCATTTTAAAAGTCATACCTTCAAAGTCTTGGTCACCACTCAATGACCATTGGCTCAACAAATGATATGTATGACTAATATGGAAGAACAAAGAGTTAGTAGTAACAAACAACGAACCTGATACACGAGTGGTTAACTCATAAAATTCATTAAGGAATACAACAAGCCTTTCAATCTTGTTCCACTCACATTTGAAGGGACCCATTTCTCATTATGAAACTTCATCTTACCAAAGATAGCTCTGTACTTAAGTGCAGTGTTCAACATTATATAGGTGGAGTTCCAGCTTGTTGTAATATCAAGAGATAAAGACAATGTAACACCCTAATCCGTCCAGGTCTGCAGCCCCTTTCGGACTAAAGTATTTAACTTGGTAATCGTAAAATTTAAAACTTTTCAAACACACTTTATTAATCTCAATAATATTTTTCATAACATATACAGTACGGAGTATTTAACAATATTGCGGAAGCGAATTTAATATTGACATATCATAAATCATTTCAAACTTGTCACATCCATCCCGACAATCTCGCCCCATCTGCCGTCAGGATCACATTAATCTTTCTGTTTACCTGCGTGTAGCAAATAAAACACACTACACGCTCAGCGGTAAAGCTGAGTAAGCATATCTAATGCGTCGAACATCCATATAAACTGAATTTAAATTCATAATCAAATCTTTTGATATCATGCACACAATGTTCGTTTCAGACATTCACAGTTTTGATATTATTCAGTTCATATCAACACATTTTATTCAATTCAGATACTATTTCAATAGTGCTCTTAAATTATTCTTAATCTAAGGCCAGATCATAATAATGCTCTTAGCTATTCTTAGTCTAAGGCCAAATCATAA